TCTTCTTCCTCCGAACATTCACCCACTGTCCCTGTTTTCCCGGGAACTACCGGAGGATGGCTAGCAGAAGCTACCTTCGGTCGGACAGCAGCGGCTACTGGGGGCTGGCTAACTATCGCGGCTAAAGATACCTCTGTGGTGCGGTACTGTTGCTCTAACTTACTAAGCCTCGCCTCCAGTAAACTAAACTTAATACATGTACCATTATCATTAAAGGAGGCAGAGGAATAACTGAACATCTGGCACACTGAGCAGGACAGAGCAGAGGGAGAGGAAGAAGCCATAGCTAACTGCTAATGCTAATGAAGCTAGCGTGTATGAAAAACTTTTGAAAATAGTGAAAAGTCGCTAAAAGAAGGAGTAACTCCGAGTGTTTAGATAGAACGAGTGTACGTTTAATTGTTAAGCTGGAAAATAACCGCTGTGACGAGTAGAACAAATTTAGATTTAGCGTTCACTGGACAGAGCTACAGCACCAAACAGTGTACACAGAGCAGGAAGTAAACCGGAAATGAGTCAGTACGCTTACCGTAGCCGAGCACGACAGAGACAGAGACACAGAGTTTCCCTGCTACTCTCTACTCCGTCCACAGCCTCTGGAAAGATGCCCCTCCTGGCCACACCTATAACAGTGTCTGCAGGATTTGTCTAGCTGAGCTTCCTGACACGCTCTGCAACCATTGAGTCTCCTATGGCTTTGACTGGTGGTTCTCTCAGTTTGATTTTTCTTAGTAGCCTCTACTGTTTCTAGCACTAACTTTTTTATTTCTAGCACTTCAGCTTTTAGCCCTTCTATGAGTTGGCTTGTGTCGTCCCCTGATCTGTGTTTCGCCCCTGATTTTTCTTACTCTTTTTCACTATCTCCCTGTCATTTACTGTGTCTGTTCTGTCATCTTCAATCTCAGTTTCTCCTCTAAGAGATGGTTGAAAGTCATGTGGATACACCTCGGCCTGCACTTCACTGAGTCTTGGAGGCCTACTCATGACTACTTTTCTCAGTTTTTGCTGTCTTTCCTGCTCTAGGTTTGCAGCCTCACTTACACGCTCTAGGACTATTAAGGTAAGGCTTAAGTTGGAACTTAACGGCATCACTCAACAGTCCTGTGTCTACAGAGCGAAGGAATTTTCTCTGAATTAGCTCTGGACTAAATTGCTCACCTTCATCCCCATCACTTGATTTTCACAGTAATTTTTCTTTCAGTTCAATTGCCCTAAACAGGAAATTCTGGGCAGATTCTTTTGGGTCTTGTGATATGTTCATTAGCCGGTGCAGCAGTCCTCTCTTTATTTCAAGCATCTCCCTCAGATGAAGGCCTGGACTTACTACATGTATGACTGCTTCAATAATCTCAGCTTCAGCATGTCCTTTACGCTGCCCAGACTCCATCTGGTTAATGAGGCTTGTATAGGACAGTTTGTCTTTCTGATCGGCTTCTCCAATCTGCCCACAGATCCGAAACTCCTGCCTCAGAGTCACCTCTGGCAGTGTGGTCGGCAGTGCTGTGGCAGTCCTGGAATCCTCTACCTGTGTTTTTATTTTTAGTCTCTCTTCTAACACCCGAATTTCCTCCTCCAACAGCCATCTCAATTCCTCACATCTAGGCCTTGAGCCTCTCCACAGTAACAACACCTTGACAACTCAGTCTTTACATTTCCCATATTCATGGTTCCTTCTGTAACATGCACATCTGAGTTGGTCCCTGCAGCTTGAAGCAACATGCCCACACTTTTGAACTTCTGAAGCACCGTATTGGTCTCAGAATATGATCTTTTACAATATAACTCATCTGCTGTGACATCAGCCTCTTTTGGGATGACGTCCCCTTAAAAATTCTAACCTGTCTCAGTGTATTTCGTAGTCTCGTCATCAATATAAGTGAATGTGGCATGTAGTGTAAAGTGCTTTCAGTGGTCAGAAGACTAGCTAGGGTTACTCCCAAGCCATTGGCAAGATAATCTTTAAACTTATAGAAAGGCCCTCCGTAATGCCAGAGGAGCCTATTACTCAGCACTAATAGAAGAAAATAAGAATAACCCTAGGTTCCTCTTCAGCACTGTAGCCAGGCTGACAGAGAGTCACAACTCTATTGAGCCACATATCCCCATAACCTTAAGTGGCAATGACTTCATGAGCTTCTTTTATAATAAAATTATAACTATTAGAGAGAAAATTAATCACCAACTGCCATCAAAAGTTATCAGTGGCTCTCCAAGTTCAGGGACTTTCACTAATGTAAACTTAGATATATAGTTAGACTGTTTTTCTGCTATCGATCTTCATCAGTTAACTTAAATCATTTCTTCATCGAAGCCATCAACCTGTCTATTAGACCCGATCCCAACTAGGCTGCTTAAAGAAGTCCTACCCTTAATTGGCACTTCTTTACTGGATATGATTCATCTTTCTTTATTAACAGGATATGTACCACAGTCCTTTAAAGTAGCTGTAATTAAACCCCTTCTTAAAAAGCCCACCCTTGACCCAGGGGTTTTAGCCAACTATAGACCAATCTCTAACCTCCCCTTCCTCTCTAAGATTCTGGAGAAAGTAGTCGCCAAAGAGTTGTGTGACTTTTTACATAACAATAGTTTATTTGAGGATTTTCAGTCAGGATTTAGAGTTCATCACAGCACTGAGACAGCTCTGGTTAAAGTTAATAATGACCTTTTGATTGCTTCTGATAATGGACTTGTCTCTGTACTTGTATTATTAGATCTTAGTGCTGCATTTGACACCATTGACATTAATATTCTTTTACAGAGACTTGAGTATGAAATTGGCATTAAAGGAACAGCACTAAGCTGGTTTAAGTCATACTTGTCAGATTGTTCGCAGTTTGTACATGTTAACAATGAATCTTCAATAAATACCACAGTTAGTCATGGAGTTCCACAAGGTTCTGTACTTGGACCAATACTATTTACTTTATATATGCTCCCTTTAGGCAACATTATTAAGAATCACTCCATTAACTTTCATTGCTATGCAGATGATACGCAGTTATATCTATCGATCAAGCCCAATGAAATTAATCAATTATCTAAATTACAAACATGTCTTAAGGACATAAAATCCTGGATGAGCTGCAATTTTGGGATGTTAAACTAAAAAAAAACGAAATTCTTGTTCTTGGCCCCAAAAACCTTAGAGACTCACTGTCTAAAGATATAGTTACTCTAGATGGCATTACCTTGGCCTCTAGCACCACTGTCAGGAATCTTGGAGTTATCTTTGATCAGGATTTGTCTTTTAACTCCCACATAAAGCAGACCTCCAGGACTGCCTTCTTTCATTTACGTAATATTACAAAAATTAGACACATCCTGTCACAGACAGATGCAGAAAAACTAATCCATGCATTTGTTACTTCAAGGCTGGATTACGGCAACTCTTCATTATCAGGTTGCCCCAATAAGTCCATTAAAACACTCCAATTAATTCAGAACGCTGCAGCACGAGTACTGACAGGAACTAGAAAAAGAGATCACATCTCTCCTGTACTAGCTTCTCTGCACTGGCTCCCTGTAAAATGTAGAATAGAATTTAAAATCCTCCTCCTCACCTATAAAGCTCTTCATGGTCAGGTCCCATCATATCTTAAAGAGCTCATAGTACCCTATTACCCCACTAGAACACTACGTTCTCTGAATGCTGGGCTACTTGTGGTTCCTATAGTCTCTAAAAGTAGAACAGGAGCCAGAGCCTTCTGTTACCAAGCTCCTCTCTTATGGAACCAGCTTCCAGTTGTGGTTCGGGAGGCAGACACCCTCACCACATTCAAGAGTAGGCTTAAGACATTCCTCTTTGATAAAGCTTATAGTTAGGGCTGGATCAGGTGAGTCCTGAACCATCCCTTAGTTATGCTGCTATAGGCCTAGACTATCGGGGGATTTCCCATGGTGCACTGAGCTCCTCTCTTCCTCTCTCTTTCTGCACTCATTCATGTTCCATTAATGCATGTTACTAACTTCACTTCTTCCCCGGAGTTCTTTTGCTTTCTCGTCTCGCAGGATCTTATCGATCCTGGTGGAGCCTCCTGCCATGGTCCTGCTAGATTGCCATTACCACTACTGTTGTTGCTGTGCACCTGTCTGTTTCTCTCTCTCTCTCTCTCTCTCTCTCTCACCCCAACTGGTCAAGACAGACGACCACCCACCTCGAGCCGAAGGATATGTCCTAGGTTTCTGCCTTTTAACAGGCAGTTTTTCCTTGCCCTTGTCGCCAAGTGCTTGCTCATGGTGGTACTGTTGGGTCTCTGTAAATAATGTTATAAAGAGTTTGGTCTAGACCTGCTCTATTTGAAAAGTGTCCTGAGATAACTTCTGTTATGAATTGGCACTATACAAATAAAATTGAATTGAATTGAATTTATCCAGGAAACGTTTTCTTGTTTTCTTGGTTTCTTATAATATAAAAAGATTTTCAGTGTACTGATCAGTGCACTTGCTTTGCAATCTAATTTAAATATTTGAGCTTGTGCCAGGACCAAATTATCCTGTACAATAAATAAATCAACTAAGTAAGTAAATCCAAAAAAAGCTCCTTAGTCTGTTGTTTTGATTTTTAGATTTCCCATTCCCTTCCAACCATATTTCATACCATTTGGTGAACAGAAATATCACCTAAATATAAACTCCAATTCCCTTCACCTGCTAAGTTGACACAGAAATACACACACACACACACACACACATACCCGTTTTTATTACCCTGTGAGGTCCACTGACTGGAAGGGTCCTGGTGGGATCCACCCTTTCTGAGTGGTCTAGAGACTTGGTTTTAACTGCTAAATTTTTTTAAAATTCCTGTGAGGATGAAAATGACTTAAAGCATCAAAAACTCTCACATACATTTTAAACCTGAATTTTGGCTCCAATGGGGACCAGTCATTGGTCCCCACTGGTCCTCCAACCCCCACACCCACCCACATCATGTCTATAAGCCTCACAGAGGCAGATAAAAGCTAATTCTGGCCTTCAATAATCAATACTGACAGAAGTGAAAAAAACAGCAGCTCTACTTTACTTTAAGTAAATGTTATCTCACACAAGACAGGCTTTCTGAAGTTAATCTTACAAGATTTTATTACTCACACGTAACCATAGTGACAGCCAACATCTGGTCACTTATCCTCCACTTGGTGTGTACAGGTAGGTATATGGCCAGTTGAACTGTACAATAACTAGTGCGAAATGTTTCAAGTACTGAATACATGAACAAGAACGCATTCACACCAACACATGGATCATCAAAACATGCACAATCATAGAATGTGCGTAACAAAACATTCAAGTGCTCTTTGTTTCAATAAATTATTTTTGCACTTTCACGCTGAATGGCAGTGACCCGGTTTTTAACATAGAACTTTACCGCAGTCCAGCTTCTATTTTTCAGTGCCTCTGCTGAAGCCTTAATGCAGGCATTGCAGTCCGATTTTCCTGGTACTTTACCAGATTCGATGAAATCTTTAAGTGTCTTTTCCACAGCCCGGACTTCACCAACTGACCAGCTCCTCTTCTTTGAGGTTTCTATGAAAGAAAAGTAAAAAAGGAACTCAGAAGTGGAGACAAGCGATTCAATTGGCAATTCATCAACTGTTCAGTTATTCAGTTAAGTTTTTCCTTGCCACTGTCACCAAGTGCAGCTCATGGTGGGATTTTTTGGACTGGCAAAGAATTTGGTCTCAACCTGCCCTATATGAAAAATGGCTTGAGGTAACTTCATTGTAATTTGGCGCTATATAAATTAAATTTCATTTGATTTGAAAAGGGATATTTTGCCTTATAAAAAAACTATTTGTAACCTTTTTTCTCATTATTTGTACAGACTGGTGCAGTACCCAACTTTTTATGTATTTCATATTGTAGAATAAACTGGGAATCTCCAGGATTACGGATTAATGTCTTAAGTGTTGTGCTGTCTGCACTGACTGGCTGACAACAGACTAACAAGGCTAACCAATGAATGCATTTACAACAAGTCACCAGGTTATCTCCCGCTGTGCAGAGAGGTGCCGTCACTCACTAAAGTTACCTGCAGTTGGTCAGTAACCAGATTTTTCTGCCCCTTTTCTAAAAATCAATGTAACTAAGTAAATCTAATAGTAATAGTTATGCACAGTGTTTGAAATACCTCGTTTAGAGTCACCGTCATCACCGTCAGTCTCACCAGGTTTCTGTTTTCTCTTATGTCTTGAGGATCCTGCGAAATAATGAATGATGGTGATTACTATTATTAGTTTTATTATTATTGTTAATACAAAATATGTCAGTTACCTGTCAACACACCTTCATTGTCTGAATGAAAGCCATCTATAGTAAGACAAGTGTTATCACTATTGAGAGAAAACATTTCATAACTTGTGATAAGGACAACATGTAGTGTGTTAAATACCTGTTTGAGGGTCATCGCTGTCAGCATCAACAGGCTGACGTCTTTTCTTAGAGCTCGAGGATGCTGTTAAAAGAAGGAATAATTAGTATAGTTATACAGGATAATAACTGCTAACTGACAACACAATGCTGTCAGTCCTCTTTATTGGTAGTACTGAGCAAGAAGGAGAAGTATACAATCACATTTCTGAAAATTGCTAAAAACTGCAAATTCTCTCCCTCGTCTTGGCCACACATGCTGATACAGTCATGGAGCATTTCGGCTTGCAGCTTTGAAATAAAAGCATCACATGATTTTTAAAATGTCCAGCTGCTTTCAGCGTGGAGTGTTCTACAGTGAGCTTGTTTTAATAGTACCCATTGTCTTTAGGTGTTTGTCCATGACTTCTTTTACACAAACAGGGCAAGCCTATGAATATTCTCATTCATCCAGGTCATAGTTATCTCAAGGAAATTGAATCGCACGTCAGACTAGTCCAGCCTAGTCAGACGAGCATGAACTGATGAAGCCTCTTGGATGAGAGGTGAAACATCTTTAAAGACATATAACCAAGTCCAGTTGTGTTCGATTCAATTTCCTTGAGGTTACAAACAGGGCATGTTCTAATCAAGTGCCAATGCTCAGTTTTTGGGTTACCTTTAGTGGGACGTTCAACACTGCCAGGCTCATGAGAGTTTTGCTGTCCCCCTGTCAAAAGAATAACTTGTATAGAATAAAAGTATGGAAATTCAAAATTATTGTTGAAAAAGCTCAATTTGATTCCACATCCTCCTCTACTCAAGACCATAACTCAACTGCTGCACCACATGTGGAAGCTGGTAAATATGAGGTCCAGTCCACTATGGTCATACACAATGAACATATATTATCAGATAAAGCAGATATGATGCTTCATGCAGTAGTTCAGCTGCATGTAGCTCTTCCTTGTAGCTGAGACTCCAGCCGGGTGAAGCAGAGCACAGCTGTACTGGCTGGTTGACAGACTGATTTTAAAACAGAACTTTATTCCACTCAAAAGCAGTTGGTTATCAGCTGGTAGAATATTGAATGGTGGTATATTGTTCTCTTTTGTACAGACAGTAAACTAGTATCTTCTGTGTGTTAAATACCTGTTTGAGGGTCATCACTGTCAGACTCAACAGGCTGTCGTCTTTTCTTATAGCTTGAGGATGCTGTTAAAAGAAGGAATAATTAGTACATTAATACAAGATAGTAACTGTAACTGACAACAGATCTTGACTAAATGAAAGCCACCTGTATTATGACATTTATGTGCTTGCTTTGGTTATAGTGGCAGGAGATTTCAGGCAGTGATGAGGGATGAGGAGAGAAGAGACAAGACAGAGGAGAGAGGAGCGAGACAAAACACTTTATGAATGTGCTGCTACAGTGTTAGAACTGTTGACTGTTTTAGCTTCATTTCAATGATGTTTTATATTTGATTTTTAAAGAGGTATTAATGTCCCTTTGGTGCGCTGACAGCGAGAGAGAAACGGTATTTCATTTGTTTTGTGTATGTAAATACACAAGAGTCATCTGATCATTAGAGTTTGTTTGACTGAAAGTACTGACAGAAAAGACTGTACATTATTAATCATTAATAGTTTGTTTTAACATTGCTAAAAGATGAACTGAGCAGGAAGAATCTGCACATCATTATGTTTTAATTTAATTTCCTTTTTTGTAAAGACAGGTGACTAACAAATAGGATGCACAACGGATAGTGTATAGAATACCTGTCACTGATACTCAGATTGCTCTATTATCTTGTTTTGATAAAGTAACAGGTAAATCATGATCTGTCTCTCTGTTTGTAAAAACAAGGAAAAAAATAAAGGCTTTAAATATCAAGGATTTTTTGTCATTAAAGTTGCTTGATTGGCAAAAGATTGACCTTATTGCACACAACTGATGTGTAACCCACCTGAGGAGCAAAAAGATGAGTCCCCGCCCATCTCTGTCTCTGACAGGTCACTGTCCACAGCTTCTAGTACCTGTTCTGAACACAAGGGAAAAAAAACAAAATATCATATGAGAAAAGGACGTTTACACACACTAAATAAGATGTTAAGAGTAAGTTTTCTTTACCACTGGGATCAATCTGGATTTGATCCAAGCTCATTCCCTTGTAGTCTGACAGCCGGCCCTGTTCTAGGGCAATCAACACTTTACTGACTTTAGCCAACTCCAGTGTCCCTTCAGGTAGTCTGTAGTACTGTCTGTGTACCCGTATGTCATGGCCAAGAAAATTTGCCAGTGTGTCCATCTCATTATCCTTTAGGTTGAGAACTTTGGACAGTGTGGAGACCTGCTTTCTTAACTTGGTTGAGGACAGAGTTTCAGGATGCTTGGCCCCACATTCCTTTGCCATCTGTCTGATGGCATCTGATCCCCTTAAGTGACTCTTTGCTTCAGCTCTGGCAAAGAAATAAGGATTGTCATCAGGCACACCACAGGTCCGCCGATGTGCAACTAAGGCCTCCTTTGATGACAGCATGTCCGGTGTTAGAAGGTCGGAACCTTCCTGTTTCTTTTCCCTCTGATTTCAATCCGTTGAAAATGTTGGCAAAGCTTTTGCTCCAACTCTGAAAGACCTAGTGCCACATCTGAATGAAGTTCTGAACTGTCTCTCAGGGTAAATGCACTAAGTGGCATCTTTGATACTTCACCTTTTCTTCTGCGGTTAAACAGGATCACCTCAGCAAGCGTTACACTGGCCAGCTTGGTCCAGGTCTTCTTCCTTGGGCTATTCTTCAGATTCCTTTGGTATTCTTCTCTGCACTTTTCGAGGTGCATGTGCATGTTCTTGACATCCTCAGTGAAAGGAAGGAGCTGAGGAGTGTTCCATTTCACCTCTTTCAGAGTTTGTAGGGCACGTGATGACACACACACATCCCACTTTTTCTCAAAAAGACCCCTGCTCCTGTTCAGGTTGTTTAGAAATTCCTCATTGTCAGACTCTGCCATCTGCGCCTCACACTCAAGAATATCTGCAATCTTCTTGAGACTATGACCCAGCTTCAGAGCCAGCGATGGACTTTTGTAGGTGTTTTTCTCCTCATCAAAGCCAGACACAGCTTTTACTGCTTCAACCACAAAGTTAAAGTTTGAAGGCACAAAGAACTCCTTAATTCGTTTCAGTGTACCACCTGTCCGTGACTGCTGAACTAGTCGCCCGATTTCCCGCATTTTTTGTCTAATGTGGTCATGTTTGGTTTTGTCATGTCCATGCTTGGCATACAAATGTTCTCCAAGTTTCAAAATGGTTGTCTCTTTTTTGATGATGTTTGTGACTTCATCTTGATACATGGCATTTGTTAGCTCCCAAACATTTTGGCTAACACCATCTGGGACAGGCTGTGCATACGCACAGAGCGCCTGGATCCGACTTCTACCTGGCTTTAGCGTGCTACATGTAAGTGAAAGCCTACACTTGGACATGTGCCTCCACAATGACTTTCTTTTGAGCAAAGCCTCACAGTTTATACAGTGCATGTAGTCACTTGCTTTCGCTGGTTTTGCAGCTCGATAGCTTGGCATCAGTGTGCCACTACCAGTGTTTAGGACCTCGTTGTTATGAGCACGGTCCCCTTTATTTCTAATAAGGTCAAAATGTAATCTTCGTTCCTTTGACTTCAAAGGAAAACTTATTGCTTTAGCTACAGCAGGTTCATTGGTGTGTTTGCGGATTAAATGCTTTGCCATTTTTTGGCAGTGCATGGGACAGTACAAACAACAATGTGTCTTACTGTAATCTCTGGCACCATTTGACTTTTTTCGCAGCTTCATTACAGACACATTTTCCAGGCTTGTGTCATCACAGTTTTCGCTTCCTGTTCTCTTCTTGTCTTCATCTGAAGACATTTCTTTCTTTTTTTTCTTGTATGTCCTTTGTGACGTCTTCTGCTTCACCACTGGAACCTTGCTCATGGGACTGTCAGGTTCTTCTGCACTGCTTTCATAAACAGAGGCTTTTGACAGAATATATTCATCACCACTGCTTATAGAGGTGTCAAAGGCGTGTGATGCCTTGGAAATCTGTTCAAGGTATTCTCTGGTGAGCTGAAAATGAAATGTACAAAAAGCTTATAGTTAAAAGAAGAAACACTAACCTGATTTAGAAATCTTAAATTGTCTTAAACCATGGCTACTTAACATGACAATCAGCCCTGTGTGATATACAGGATTAGAGTTAGGGTACAGCTATGAGCCACAGAAGAACAGAGGGATTCATTTTAAATCATTGTTAACTTTGTTTCCCCTGTATGAGTTAGGTGTCCTACTGATTTCAGAATGCAAACTTACAAATACACTTTCAGTTCTTGTCAGGGGGGGTTCATCTGGGTCCTCAGGATCAGAGTGTGAGGTTTCAAGGATGCTTGTTTCCTCTGATTCGGAGCTTGATTCCTAGGAGAAAAAAACAGAACATCTCTCAAAGAGTATTTCCTAAAATCAATCCCCACTTCGCGAGGATACATTGGTGCAATTGTTCAGTTGGTCGCTAATGCTCTGCAATCAGATGGTCACACAGAAGACGACAGGCACTACTGAGAGTCGACTTCTTTTCTGTTGCTATACAAGCGGGACCAGTGAGGTAATTAGACAATAATAAGTTCACAATCACAAACATGTAAAAATCACAAAGTTGGCTCATCATAAAAGAAGCTCTTGTTTACAGAATCCATGCATCTCCTTGAATTAATGAATACCCCTATACTGTGACTACATACACAAACAATAACAATATATAAAAAGTTGCGACCCTTTCATCAAGAATAAATATTAGCCTACATATAAATATGAAATATTATGGGCTGAATAACAACATATTTAACAATGAATTAGTGAACGACGCGTAAAAAGGTGTGCTTCCTGGGATTGGTACGGATGGGGTTCACAACAGAAATAAACCGCTCCAGAGTTCACTTGATAACGGACCGAGACCCCCCCCCTCCCCCTACAAGGTGGACCGGAGAGTGGTTGTTTGGTCTGCACCAGAGTTCGAGCCCGGCGTTCATACCATCCCAAACGAACCACACCAACGGGGCAAACGCTCCAAGGTTCAGTTCAACCAGACAAAACAAGGCTGGTGTGAACATGACCTAAGAACAGTCTAACAGTCTAATAACAACACTGTGGTGAATGTACAGTTGCGACCATTTTTGATAGTGCTTCTGTTTCTGTATGTTGGAATAACTTTGCTAAAACCATAACTCACTTTGACATAAACCTGCACATTATGAAAATGTTAAAGCGCTGCATACAATCAGATATCAAGGTTGTTAGAAACATGATTATTGTTCCAAATGCAGTAAATTTTTTTATTGTTACCAAAACGTAACAAATGAGGGGCTGCACACAGGTACACAGTGGTTTGCCACATGCCATTTTAAGTTTGTGGATAGTCTAGTTTTCACACAGCTGTTGAATTATTTAGTTTCAAACACTTAAATCTAGTTGTGCTATCTCACTGCAGCTGCACACTTACTATCATGACTTTCCAAGTGACCCTACATTGTAACTAACTGGTAATAACAGGATGGAATTGACCATTAGGAGGGTTGTCATATGGAACAAGTTAAAAGCAGTGTTTGACCCTTACCAAGATCTTAGAAGGTAGCTGCATCTCTGCTGGAAGTCCTGACAGTGGTAAGGCCTCAAAGACAACAAAGACAGGACACATTTACTACAATTTTCAACAAAATGAGTTTAACAAAGAGCTGCAGAACCAGAGCACTAAACTCCTGCCCACATATTTTTTATTATTGAAAATTAAAAGTTGCAAGGGAGTTTTAAAAAGAGTAAATCACATTATATTAGGGCTGTGCAATATGACAAAAAGAACGTGTATGCCTTAATAGGTAATTTCTAATCCAGTTAACAGTACTGTAAATTCAATGAATATAAATATATAAATTATATATTGCATAGCCATATCTTTGCAGAGGCAAGTTTTTCCTCACTCGAAGGATAGAGGGTGTCACTCCCTGTACAGATTGTAAAGCCCACCGAGGCAAAATGTGTTTTGTGAATCTGGGCTATACAAATAAAATTTGATTTGATTTGAGATGTAAGTTGCAGCTCAGATTAGGGCATTCAAAATCCCTGCTATTCTTACCAGATCCTCCATGTTTCATCAAAAATAGATAAGAGTATTGCAATCTTAGTATTGTATCACAACTTGTATTACCTCTGTTTGGTGCTCTCTCAGGCGACGTAAGCCTGTCTTTATCCTTGTGAGTTGTCTACTCCGTCTGCATGATGTGAAACACAAACAAGTTCACCTAGCTGATGTAATATTTGACCTATGAATGCATGACTTTAAAAAATCTTTCAAAGATGGCTATCATTTCTTAACTAAACATTGTCAATAAAATCTCATAAATGTTATGTCTATTAGGAAAATCAAGTCCAGGTTTAAACTAAAACAAAATTTAAAAAAAAAGGAAAAATATCTCTGTTACTCATAAATGTGTTACAGAGACGATGAACTGGCTTAAATCACAATCATGAAGCTTTTACATGGCTGAACAACGATAATTAAGATGTTGTCACTCATTTCAACTAGCTGCTTTTTTAGGTGTGTTAGGTTTTTAGGTTCCTTAACTTAAAACATGATATTAGTTCAAATTCAAATGAAAATGTAAACTTGAAAATGTAATCCCACAATAGCATTATAATTTTCCACGTTTGTCTTATTTGAGTCAAAATGAAAATGCAATAATATAATTTACATTTTCATATACTTGTATGGGCATTGTATGACCATATTAAAATTAAAATGAAAACAGGATTTGACATTTCATTTTCAAAGACTTAAACTGTTCTAAAGTGGACATTATTTTAATTCACCAAAAGAGCATGTTGACATGCACATGTAAATGCATTAAATGTCAAATGCTGTTTTCATTTTCATTTTAATATGGTCATAGAATGCCCAGACAAGTATATGAAAATGAAAATGTAAATAATTATTGCATTTTCATTTTCACTCAAAATAACACATACATACGTGGGAAATTATAATGCTATTGTGGAATTAAATACTCATTTTCAGGTTTAGATTTTCATTTAGATTAAGTCCACTATACGCTTCCCTTAACATTAGCATCACTTTCTACCTTCTGCAACAGGTCAGCAAAGTCAAAGTGTAAAAAAGGCAGAACCTTAAAAACATGCTACTGTGACATTAGCTCTCTCTGCTAACATTACAAACAACAGTGACAGGCTAGCTAATGTTAGCATTAGCAACGCTGCTGGAAAAAAACTAATATGCTTCTGACTGCAAACACATCACATAAAAACTTAATTAAGACGTCACAAAAAACCCATAAAAAACCTAATTATCAACCTAAAACTCGTTTTTAGAACTTACTCAGTTTTCATCTTTTTCCGTCGTTGTCGCTCACATCTCTCTTCTGCGCATGCGTCTGTTCTGCGCTGCTCCGACTGACCGTGAGGGGGGCGTGTCATTGAGCGTCATCACCAGGTAGGGGAGACGGTAGCGGCGGGGACCGCTGGAGTCAGGAAAGGTGTGTGTCTGCCGCACCGCTGATTCAGCGCTGACACACACACACACTGTCCTGACTCCAGCGGTCCACGCCGCTACCGTCCCCCCCACCCTGACATCCTTTACTGTTTGTCATCCGTCACTTGTTAGACGTAATGACGCTATTTCCTGTTGATGTTCCTTCACAATAAAAGTATTCCATTCGTGAATGAACGAGATGCTTTTAATGTGAAGAGGATTGTAGGAACTTCAACATTTCTGCCACTCTGTTAGCAGACATTAATTTAAAACCGGACTAATTACACAGGTGTGGACCTATTCCACTGTTCAATCAGCTAATCAGTTTGAACATTCTAGGAGATCTTTGTTGTTGTGTTTTGTTGCTTGTTCCTATACATAGTGTTTATATTTGTATTACTTACTTTTATTGTTTATATCTACCTCAGAGAAAACCAGAAGAGAGAATTTAAAATAAAACTTAACATAATAACATAAAACATGAGTTTGCAGGATAAAATAGTGATTTGTATTACAATCAGTAAAAGGACATACAGTGCAAATGAAAGATTAAAACTGAGTGCTTTAAAAGAGCTCAATTATAAGCACATGAGAAACTAAACATTTTTAACCTGGATTTAAAAATGTTTATAGTTGGGGCTGATTTCAGAGGGGTATTGCACAAAACCAAGATAATGGATATGTTGGTTATCCTGGATGAATTTAGCCTCATGTCGGTTGCATGAAAGCAGGTCAAACTTATCCCGGCCAAGTTACTATGGTGATTTATTCTCTGCAACTAGCCTGCTCCAGACCAGGCTAACAGCCGGGCTAAGATTAATCCTAGTGATTCACCTGTATTTCCATCCATCCAACTCCCATTCACCTGTTTCCTCTTCATAATGGCTTGCCCTTTCTTGGAGGATGTACTGGATGAGGAAGCCCTAATCCTCAGACGAGCATTTAGTCATGAAAGAGTCTTCTGGGACAGGTCAGACCCATTGGCCGTTGGAGAGGACTATCTCATTGAGAGATACAGATTCTCAGGTGATGGACTGAGATATTTATGTAGGCTGCTGGGTCCAAAAATACAGCACCAGACGGCAGGAAGCCATGCTCTCACTGTACCACAGATGGTCTGTGGTACAGTGAGATGTTTTGCAAGTGGGAGCTTCCTTTATTCTGTTGGGGATGCAGAGAACCTCAATAAAGGAACCATTTGCAGCACATATCCTGGCTTGGTGGGCCGCCCCCTGTGCCAGTTCTATGGGCTTTTTTTTTAACTGCTACAATCATACAGACATTCAACATGTCAGCAGACTAATCTATTCACCTCATTTGTTCACTGTTATCTACTTTAAAGTCACTGACCAGCCTGCAAAATGTTCTTGTATTTAACTTTTTTAACATTTTTAATGTAACTTGCTGCCAGGTCTTTTTATGGCCAGACAAGTTTGTTCTTTATGAAGGATAGAAAGATAAAATAGATAAAAATAGATTAAATGACACACATTGTGGATAATTGTTTGCACTTAATCATACTCTACATTTAAGTAACATGCACCTCTACTTGCCACATTTAAAGCACAGTGTACAACAGTTGATTAGTGCACTTATCCCGACTATCTACACCTGGCTTAACATAGCCGCGCCTTTTAATCCTGGCTCGGCAAACGTGCAACCAATTAAACCAGGATGAGCCGAGCAGGCTAGGTCAAGCCGCGCTTGTTCAGTTATCCTGGATTTCTTTATTCTACTTTTGTGCAATACCCCTCAGCTCTGCTGGTAGTTTGTTGTGTGCAGCATAACAACTAAATACTGCTTCACCCTGTCCAGTTTGAACTCTGTGCGCCACTATCTGACCTGAATCAGTAGATCTCTCTGGATTTATACTCTACCAACATGTCATTCGTGTATTCTGGACTTAAACCATTTAGTGATTTCAAGACCAGTAGCATAGCAGTTAGATATTACATGTAAATGAGGTTGATAACTTGGCTGACTTTAAAGGGAAATATTACGTAAAACCAACTTTTTAATCGATTGATTATTTACATTTGGGACTCTGGAGGGCCTATCAGCAGGCAAAGTGTGAAAACAGATGACTCAGTATTGTTTTTGTGGGGTGCCTCAGTCAAAATACCGGAGATAAAGCAGTTAATGTTGACTTCGCAGGGCGTGTGGCGTCACATTCCCTGATTGCGAACTTTCACCGCAGACGTTGCCTAGCAGCACTCCACCATTGTCCAGATAAAAAGGCGAGAGTGCAGGCGAGGGAGCAGAGGAGCGGAAGAGCGGCCTTATGTCTGAGCAAAAGTATGCTAACTGTTCTGTTCTGATTCCCAGCCTCAGAGGATTTAGGAGTCCCGTGGATAAATTTTATATATGACGGCAATGAACCTTGGTCAGTGCAATGCTGGACTGTCCCAAAACTGTTGCTGAAAGGGGGAGCAGTACCAACTGTCCACGGCAAGATGGCAGAGGAAGAAACTAAGTATTTTTAAGAGTTTATGCTTTGTTTTTCATTGTTTGTGTAACGCTAGCAAACGCTAACTGCTGTTAACTGCTGGAGCCTCAGTGACGCTAACGTAACAGTTATTCTGTTGTTAACGTTAAATGTTTGTTAAATGTGTGCAAGATGCACTTCAAACTTATAAGGTTACTTATGGTTACTTATAACCATATTCTTCCCTGCTGATATTTTTATAGAGATTCACACAACGTTTACCCCGCTGCCAGAGAGGATGACTCGGTAAAAGTTACCGTTACTGTTGTGTGCTTTGTGGCCGGGGGAAATTGACTTAATGTGCGTCTGTATTTTGGCAAACGTGCATGCTTTTCATGAAGTACTATGCTTGTGTGTGTCGCTGCTAGAATGAGCAGAGACGTGACCTCTGAGCTAACAAACTGTAGTGGCAAGCCTCATCAGCTGTGTCGCTCGTTGAACTACGTTACGTTACTTTATGATGTAGCTGGTTGGTACTAAGGATACAAAGTAAAACATTATGAGACAGTATTTGCTTTTACTGCATTACAAATTACTTCGGTAACTCCTTCTTGTTCAGGGTCTGACTCTGGTTTAAACATATATGGTTGGACCACAAAGTTTCCTCCAGTTGCCATCTTTCTCCCAGGGTTCACGTTTAACTGTTGTCATGGTAGCGTGGTGTGGTCACCTTGACCTTTGACCTTTGACCATCAAAATCTAATCAGATCATCTTTGAGTCCAAGTGAATGCTTGTGCCAAATTTGAAGGAATTCCCTAGAGGCTTTCCTGAGATAGCAAGCTTTCAAGAATGAGACTGACCTTTGACCTCTTGGATATAAAATGTCACCACTTTATATTTGTACCAAATTGGCTAATTAGCGTATGAATTATGGAATTATGGACTAACACATGATTCGTGAGGTCACTTTGACCTTGACCTTTGACCTTTGTGTATGTGCAAGTATGTTTTATACTTTTACATACATACAGCTAACAAAAAGAATGAGACTGCTTTCAAAGTAAGTTATAGTGATTAAATTGCTTCCCTTTTGCAAATAATTTCATAATATCAAACTTTGATTACTTAAAATTGCATTAATCTGTGTGCGATATGAGGTTTTTTGACATACACACTTACACACTTTGTCAGGAAAATGGCCCCACCGGTGCAAACTTACACACGTGCAATACCATCTATGACCACTGGTACGCATACACTCACACACCCCGTCGTGAAAACTAACTTCATGGGGTCCAATTTTTTTTTTCAAAAAAACCACACTAGGCCTATCAGGAGGCTGTTTTCTATTGATTGCAATGCTCGTGCCTGTGGGGACCGAAAAACTGGTCCCCACCGCGTGAGTGAAAAGTCAGGTTATGGTCCCCATCAGGATAGAAAAACGCACACACACACACACACACACACACACACACACACACACACACACACAGGTACATGGTGCATACAAGCAGATGCACAGCTCCACTCAAACAACAGACACAGAGCTGCCCGACACAAACAGGCACACATACCAGCTGATTGGGGCAGTGGAGCACACACAGCGCACAGCATGGCAGGACTGGAGTGCTACAGAGTGGACTTCTCTGTCTCTACATGTGTGTTTGTTCTTACAATGAGGCTCCCTACTGCTAGCAACACTCCTCAACCATCTGCTGCAAAGCATCAAGCCAGAGGAACATCCCCTCTCTCCCTGATTTCATTTATTTTCCGTTCCTTCATCCTGTTGGTCCAGGTTTCACATAACTGATGCTGAGAGTTTAAATGAGAGTGTCCTCAAATCAAGTTCCATTAGCAATGTAGCTAGCAGAAACAAATGGCCTTCAAATTAAGTTCTATGTTTAAAAGTGCAGTTGAGGGGGGCTGTAGCTCAGGTGGGAGGGCAGGTCATCAACTAATCAGAAGATGAGCGGTTAGATCCCTGTTTCCTCCGGATGCATGTCGAAGTGTCCTTGAGCAAGATACTGGACACCAAATTGCTCCCAATGCTGTGTGTGAATGTGTGTGAATGTGTGTGAATGTGTGTGAATGGGTAAATGTGGCATGTAGTGTAAAGTGCTTTGAGTGGCTGGACAACCAGAAAGGCTGTACTATATAAGTACAGTCCATTTACCATTGAACTGATTTTTCAGGACCAGCAATAAGTGACTAAATGTCTGAAAACATAAGATATATTTAGATATATCCTCCAAAATATTACCCACTGGATCTTTAGTTACAGTGACCTAAGTAGTTGCAGTCCGTTACTTTGACCTCTGCCATCAGAACTTTTGAGTCCCAAGCTGGTATCCTTTCCAGGACCCCATCCAATCCCAATTTCTATCCCTGCAGGTGCTTGGCCCACAGGGCAGTAGTAGTAGTTCTTTTGGGCTGTGTCCAACCAAGCCCCACGGGGCCACGAGATACTTGCCGGCAAGCTTCCCTCCCAGGTCTGACTCCAGGAGAGGGCTCCGGTTCCCCTTT